AGAGTTCAGGGCTAGGTGTGAGCACTCCCCGAGTTAAGGTCCCAGAGTTCAGGGCTAGGTGTGAGCACTCCCTGAGTTAAGGTCCCAGAGTTCAGGGCTAGGTGTGAGCACTCCCTGAGTTAAGGTTCCAGAGAGAAGACTACGGGAGGCAGGCTGAACAGAGCAGAGCCCTTGGGGCCTGGGATTGCTGCCACGCCACCCTCTAGCCTGGCTGGATGTTGGGGAGCATGCTAGCCCGGACCACAGAATCCCCTGGTGGTCTTTTAAAAAGACCATCCCATCCCTGGCCCTATCCCAGGCCAGCAGAATCTGTCTCTAGGGTGGGCCCTGCACACATCTTTCTTAAACGCACCTTGGTTGATTCTCCTGTGTGGCCAAGGATGAGGGCCTCTGGAATACTGGGGTGTCTATGAAGGACTGCTGCTCAGGGCTGAGCTAAATGAATGCCCTGTGCTCAGCACACAGGAACCCTCCTTCTTGGAGTGTGGAGAGAGGGGACTGGCTCTCACCCAGGGCTCTTAAAATTATTGTGACCTATTTAAGTATCAGAGAAATGTAGAGACAATGATAATGAACATCAGGTACCATCACCCAGCTTTGCTAAATCTTAACATTCTACCATATTTCATATTTGCTTGAGATTTTTGTTTAAAAAAAAAACATAATCCAAGCAACCTGTGAACCCCTCTCACCCAGCACCCTTCTCTTGCCCTCCCTTGAGCCACCAATAATTTTGTGACTATATCCCCAATGCATATCTTTATATTTTACCACAGATGGAATTGTATATAGATCTTTCTTTGCATGTTTTAAAACTATGTAAATGGATCTTGCTGTGTGTATCCCTTTGCTGCTTAAAAAAAGGAATGTTATAGTTTTGAGATTTATGTGGTATCATGGGCTCTGTTTCATCATTATAACGGTGACGTGTCCTTCTGGTATTTGGATGCTTACTTACATTCAGTATACTCACCCATGCTCAGCTAACAGGCACGCTGGTTGTTTCTGCTTCCGAGCATTCCTGCTGGGGTTTCCCTGGAGTCCCTCCATGGCCTCTGCTGGAGGAGGGCTCGTAGTCATGGGGCGCAGAGATAACAAACCTTCAGCTTGGCTGGATTCTGCAGTTGCTTCCTAAACCACCTCCCTCCCCCAGCTGCATCCTCGCCAGCAACCTGATGGTGCACTGTGCGTGTCACTGTTGTGTGCTTTTGCTGTCCCCTGTGACTAGGAGATGGGGCATCTTTCTCCATGGCGCCACCTCGATCTCCTCTCCTGCCCGGTGCCTCCTCGGAGCCGGAGCCCATTCTATTGAGCTGTTTTTCCATTTCTTATTGATTTGAGGGAGTGTTTCATTTATCCTGATTCCAACTCTTTTGTTGGTCACACGCGTTGCAAACATCATTTCCCGGGCTGTTTGTGTGGCTTTTGCTGTTTGTTTCTTCATCGGTCCAGCAGCTTTTTATTTGAATATAGTCAGTTTGATCAATCTTTTCCTTTATGTTTTTTTTTTTTGGGGGGGTGCTGTTTAAGAGAATTTGGTGCTGTTTAAGAGCTCATGAAGATATTCTGCCATATTTTCTTCTAAAGTGTAAGAGTTTTATTTTCACATTTAGCTGGTGAAGGTACCTGGGATGGATTTCTGTTTGTTCTGAGGTCTCCTTGTGGAGCCCTGGCTGAGCCAACACTGTCTTAATTACCAAAGCTCTGTGGTAATCTGTGTTCTGGTGGACAGGCCCTGCCCACCCTGTCCCCCATCCCCCCCACCCCCCTGCACGTTTTTCTGGAATCTACAAGCACTAGGCGCACCAGGAGGAGTAGGGGGGCTGTGGTTCTGACGAGCCTTGTTGAGGGCCCCAGTGGTGAGCCTCAGCTCTTTGTCACATGATTTCCTGGGCGCTGCTCATTGCCTGTGATGTGCCCAGAAGGGAGGCCTGGGACACTGTGGTGAAGGAGGATAGCTAGAGGGAGGGAGGGAGACATGCAGTGTGGTGGGCACCCCAGGAGGTCCATCTCGAGGCTCAAGCACTGTGGCTTCTGGGTTGGCCAACGTGGCTGTGTCCCGGGAGGTGTCCCCGCTGGGCCTCGGGGTGGGGTGAGAGCTATTTTGGTGGCTCCATTCGCATCCATGTGTGACCTTGGGCAGTAGCACAGCCCGCTGGAGCCTCAGTTTCATCAGTGAGCATGGGCACCTGTGTGCTTTGGCCAGGACGGGCTATACCCAGGGCTCAGCCGGCTCATACCGGCGGTCATTAGTATGGGTTTTCTGTCCACAGCCACACTGGAAGGCACCCTCTGCCCCTGGCGGAGTGCTTGGTACGTGGCTGGTACTCAACAGATATTAGTTGTTTAGCAGGTTTTATGCCATATATTTTTTTTTTTTAATAATTTTTTTTATTTATTTGTTTATTTTCCCCCAAAGCCCCAGTAGATAGTTGTATGTCGTAGTTGCACATCCTTCTAGTTGCTGTATGTGGGACGCGGCCTCAGCATTATGCCATATTTTTAAGAACCATTTGTTAGTTGTTTTCTTGCTGCAATTCACTCATTCGCTCCTTTGTTCATTCAACAAATACGTGTTGGGCCCTTTCTCTGTTCCAGCCACTGTGCCTCAGTTGTTCGTTCCGTAATGTGGGTGTCTGTGGGGGAACCGAGGTCTTCCCTCCCAGTCCTTGTGCTCGGCCCGGTCTGGCATGTGCGTGTTTTCCCAGAGTAACCAGCAGGGGGTGCCACAGGACCGACGACGGCCTCACAGGGCTGGCTCTGCTCTCAGGCCAGGGGTGGTGGTGCAGTGTCAGGCAAGGGGAAACCAGGATTGTAGAGGCAGCCGCCAGGCAGAGGTTGCCAGCCCAGGCCCCCCATCAGCTGGCTCTGAGTGACTGCCGGGGATTCTGGAGGACTCTGTGTCTCCTCTGCTTCTGCTAACCCCACGTGGAAACAGGCCTCATTTTGTGGCCAGGCGTTCTGTGGGAGAGAGTGCCGATGCCGAAATGAGGATTCCTCTGTACCTGGATTGTGGGGTGCAGCTGGATAGCCCCAGGGTCCCCAGAAGTGTCTCCCGATCGCCCCACTGGCCACGGCCCAGGCCCCCTTGAGCCCTCTGACAGTGGCCTCAGGCCCTGACTGGCGCGCCTGTGAGTCTGGCCTGCTCCCCACCCCCACCGTCGCCCCTCCCTGTGCCAGGCTCTGAGCCGCTGGCCCAGCTTCAGCAGCAGCACGGTGCGGGGACCGCTCTGTGGGCAGCCTGCGCTTGGGTGGGGCTGTGGGGCGGAGGCAGGCACCCTTCCCTGCCCAGAGGAGAGGGCCAGCCAGGGCGGGGAGGGGGGCAGCGAGGATGTGCTCAGGCCTTTGCTGTGGAGACTGGCTCCTTGGCCTCAGAAGGGAGCAGGGCCGGGCTGGGGAGGGACAGGGCATAGTGGAGTGACATGTGTGGATGCAGGTCTGATCCTGGCAGGTTTTTTTTCCCCTTGTTTTCCCCAAAGCCCCAGTAGATGGTTGTATGTCATAGGTTCACATCCTTCTAGTGGCTGTATGTGGGACGCGGCCTCAGCATGGCCGGAGAAGCGGTGCGTCAGTGCGTGCCCGGGATCCGAACCCCAGGCCGTCAGTAGCGGAGCGCGCGCACTTAACCGCTAAGCCACGGGGCCGGCCCCTGATCCTGGCAGTTTTGAGGGCAGAGGGACATTCCTGAAGTCATCTCATCTGGGCTAGAGAGAAACGGGGTGGCTGTGTCCAGGGGGAACTCAAGCTGTGGGAGCAGCAGAAGCCAGGTGGAGTGGCTGCTGGAGAAGCAAAATGGGGTGCTGTCCCTCTTCCTTCCACAGTGCGCCTCGGCCAGGCAGCCTCAGCCAGGCCTGCTGCTACACCCTTTCCCTTCTCGGGGGCTGGCTGGCGGGGTGGCCCAGAGCAGCCCCCTGCTCCTCCTGGCCCTGACACCACTGGGTGGAGGGATGGGGCTGGCTGCCTCAGTGGGGCTGGCCTTTCCTTTCTCATCTGCCTTCAGGGTGGGGTACACTAGGGCCTGGGGCATGTCATCAGCCTGACAGTCTTTGGTGGGTAGTTGCCCCTCCCCAGGCTTAGGAAAGGTGACACCCACCAATGGTGACACTGCCCACTTGGTTCCCAGCCTGGCAGCCCTGCTCGATGCCTCCTCTCCCCTCACCCTCCCCACCCACCTGCCCACTCCAGCCCGGACAGCCCTTCCCTGTCTGGCCCATCAGGCCTGGCCACGGGCCCAGCGGCTATCCTTGTGCTCTCTCTCGGGGCAGGCGGCCTCTCTCAGCCTTCTCCATGAGGTTTCGTAATATCCCCAGGTGGTCTGGGACAGCCCGTTACACATGGAATTACCAGAGGGGTCAAGTCCTCCCAGGGCACGTGCTGGGCAGAACCAGCTGGCAGCTGGCCTAGGACCTACCTCAGCACTGAAGCCCCTCGCCTGGCTAATCCCTTGGTGAGGTGAGTGCTCCAGGGTGTCGTCAGCCTGTGTGGCCCCTCGTCCTCATGGTGCCAGGCTGCCCTCCCCAGCACTTGCTGCAGTGCCAGCTGGACCCACAGCCCACACCGGTTTCTCCTAGATGACAGGGGATTTGTGTGGGCTCTGGGGAGTGTGGACAGACAAGCAGAGCCCCTGGGGACCCAGGCCCCGTCGGGTTACTCGTTACACTCTGTGACACACCAGAAGTCATCTCCTCTCAGGGTCTCTGCTTTCTCTTTTGTAAAATAGAATCAATAATCTCGGCTTCCCAGGAGCAGTGGAGGATGGAATCAGATAAACAAGTGAGTCCTGGGCTCAGCCAAGGCCCTGGCGGCAGTGCAGTCCCTGAGGGGAACTGGGGTTATCATGACACTGTCATTGCCCAGTTGTACCATCTCGGGTGGCCACCTGGGCTAGTGAGGATGGCAATACCCCTGGAGCCCGCACTCCTCAGTGTGCCCTGGGAGAGGGGGTCTGGGCCCATGGTGGGACCTGGGCTGTGGTTAGTGGCCTGCAGAGGGTGAGGCTGGACCAGCTTCCCCTGCACAGGGAAGCGCCTCTCCCCTTAGGGCCGCCCTCCAGCAACTCTAGCCTCCTCTCAACGGTCCCCTCGCTCACTTTCTCTCTGGCTGATGCCACTGTCTGTGGACCTCTCCTGGACCTGCAGCTCAGCACACACGTGCCTTCCCCAGGGCCCAGTGGAGGAAGGGAGTGGGTCAGATGGTGCAAACACCCCCATCTACCTCGCCCTGGCGTGGATGCTCTGTGGGGAGTGGGGGAGGGAGGGAACTCCCAATGCCCAGGAAGCTGGGCCCTGAGGAACGAGGGGCCTTGGACTGTGAGGATGGGGAAGGGCACATCAGCAGAGGCATCAGTGGAGCATAGCGGGGTGCAGCAGGCTCTGTGGGGAAGAACCGGTGCAGACAGACTGCAGCAGAGGGCGGGGCCCTGGAGAGTTGGCTGACTGAGCTCTGCGAGCGGGGAGGAGCACTGTCCCAGGGAAGCCTCTGCTCATCCTGGAACACATCAGGACAGAAGGCAGAACCCTTCTACTTCCCTCTAGCTGTGTATTTTTAGGGTAAAGATGCTCATGGTGAGATTACTGCTCTTTTCACAGTTGGCATTAAAAGCGCAAAATAAGTCTCAGAGATTTTAAGTCACACGTTATTTCCTCTTATACAAAAGCCCCCCTGGGTTTTTGCTGTTTGGTGACGTGGGAAGGCGTGAAGGGAATCCCCACATGGGCTCAGGGGTGGGAGAGGTGAGAGAGCTGGCTCCGTGTGTGAGTCTGAGTGCTGTGTGTGCACGTGTGCGTGCGTGTACATCCCCTCGCTCAGGGCTTCGTGCATGGTCCTGGACTGGAGGCGGCGGCGCAGGGGCCCTGTGCTCACTGTGGACCCCTACCTGACCCGTCCAGGTGCAGAGCTGGGTGAGGACCCAGGCCTCAGGAGTCACCGGGCCCCTCTGCGCCTCCTTGGGAGGGCGACTCCATTGCTCCCTCATCTTCACCTTTGGCATCTTTCCTCATTTGTAAAATGGGTCACTGGTGACAACCTCCTGTGGTGTTGAGTGTTAAATAAAGTAATTTATAAGGAGCCTGGTGCAGCGTGAACAAACTTCCTTAACTTCTAATTAGTGTTTTCTACCACTCAGAGATGCCTCTAACGGTACAAGCTAGAATCAGCAAATGCTGGGCCAGCAGGGCGCCCCCCCTGACCCTCATCGCTGGGGGTTGTGGGCACCCTCAGGCTCTCCGGGAACCTCTTCTGCTCCGTGGGGATGACTCTGCCCTGGCAGAGGTGTCTTTAGGGTGTGAAAGGTCTGGGTGACAGTGCAGCCTGGGCCAGTGCTGGGTGGGGTCTTGGGGACAGCAGGAGCCCTCACCACCCCCAAACCAGCCCCTGGGTACACATGGGCCTGGCAGATCACCTGTCTCTTGCAGCTTTTTTCCTCTCTTGAGGTTATTCTTGACATTCATTTCAAAATGATTTTACCTAAATGTGTATAGAGGGGAGAGAAAAAGGAACCTCAGCACGGAAGGTGTCTGTGGCCGCCCTCCCAGATGGTACGAGGACAGGCACATGTCAGCCATGCACACAGCACGCTGGGACAAGGCTTAGCTCATTCAGGGTATTTTATTTTGTTAAAGTAGACAATCTTTGACTTCACACCCATCACCAGCTCTTCGTTCCCTCTGTACATCTCTCCCAGTCCTTGGCTGTGACTCCACGCACTGACCTGGGACACCCGGGTACCGAACAAAGGCTGAGAGAGAAGGAGGTTTGGCAAGGGCTCTGGCGGTGCCTTCCCTCTCGGCAGCGACGGGGTTCATATTTACACGCGGCCCTCGGCCAAGGTCCTTTCACAGCGTCCCCGGCCCTGGGGCAGGAAGGGCCGAATCGCGGGGGTACCAGCAGGCCTCCCTCAGGCTACAACACTGGCTGAGCCTTCACAGGAGTTGGAGCCGCTCTCAGCCTGTCTCAGGCGCCAGGCGTGTGGGGGCCGGGGCCCTGTCTCTCGCCTCCCCTTCCTCCACTTGCAAAGCCACGGATAATTTACTCTTTAAATACCAAGACATTTAGCTATTGTTCATTTGCTCCGAGGTGAAGAACTTTCTTTAAGTACATCACATTTATTTTCTGAAATAAAAACAAAGCAGAAACCGCACCAGTAACAAGAGGACGCTGCATGGCCGTATGTACAATGCTGCTTTTCAGGCTGCCGCAGGCGCCGGCCGCCCCAGCCTCGCTTGGGAGCAGAGGGGCAGACTCGTCCAGAGAACAACTTTTACACTCAGCAAGCCAGACACAAAAAGGATCACCTGAAAAAAAAATATGTTTTGAAAATCTGCATTTAAAAAAGAATACTCGACTGCATCTGAAATTTTCTGTATTTGTTTTTCTGCGAAACACCACGAGATTTGGCCAAAAAAAAAAGATGTCAGAGAAGAAAAACCAGGTTTTGATTTATAAAACATCAGACTAGTAGAAGAAAAGCTGGAACCCAGCTGGCCTAGTTTGAAACAAATCGTGCCACTCATGTTATTGTGTGGATTTTTGCTGCATATTTTGAAGCTGTTTAAAAAGAGCTGTGAGTGGCTGGAGGTCTGGTTAGTGCTGTCGTCTGGCCTCATACCCTGGTTCCAGAAAGAACGTGGTAGAGAGCAGACCAGTGGTGGGCGTGGCCAGCAGGGCAGGCGCATGGACCCTGCTCTGGTTCCCCCTCCTGATCAGCAGCAAGGCCCCCAGTCTGGAGCTGGGGCAGAGCTGGCCTCCTCCAGGTGCCCCAGCTGCCTCTCCCCATAGTCCCACGTGGACCCAGATGCAGACCAGAGCCGAACTTGGGAAGGCAAAGTGAAGGGGCAGGAAGGGCTTGTGAACTTGGTGACAGCTTCTCAAGTCTTCAAGAGACCTCGATGCTTTGGGGAACTCTGCCGTCTCCAGACTACGTGTGTGTGTGTGTGTGTGTGTGTGTGTGTCTCTACCTACCTAGCAATCTATCCATATATGTTTATGTTTGTGGAAACGTGGGGGCCAAGGAGGCGGAGGGGCGGGGGGGGCATTCTTCAGGCCCCCGTTTTCTGCCCCTGGGCTAGGTCTCCCTAGCACGAGTGGGGGTGTGATACCCCAGGGGTTTCGCCACAGGCAGACAGGCTGGCCTGGCTCCTCAGCAGAGGCCTATGTACTTGAGATTGTTCTGTATGATGACGTCTGTCACCGCGTCAAAGACAAACTGGATGTTACTCGTGTCAGTGGCGCAGGTGAAGTGGGAGTAGATCTCCTTGGTCTCCTTGTTGCGGTTCAGGTCCTCGAACTGCCGCTGGATGTAGACGGCGGCCTCCTCGTAGGTGTTCTGGCCCTTGTACTCCGGGAAGCACACGGTGAGCGGGATGCGCCGGATCTTCTCCGCCAGCAGGTCCTTCTTGTTCAGGAAGAGGATGAGGGAGGTGTTGATGAACCAGTTGTTGTTGCAGATGGAGTCAAAGAGGCGCAAGCTCTCTGCCATCCGGCTCTGGGGGAGGAAAATGCAGTGTTAGTTAGGGCATACAGCAAAGGAGGGCCTGGACCCACAGCCCTGCTGGGAGGAAGCCCCGTTGGCAGGGTCTCCCAGCCCAGCACTGGCCCCCCAAAAAGCACCCTTCTGTTGAGAGGCTGTCCTCTGCCAGGCCAAATCTGTCTCCACCTGCCTCCACAGGCTTTGGAGCCCCTGAAGTGGCTGGCACCGCCCTCCGTGCCCTGACAGCCTGGCACGTGTCTGTGAGAGGCCCTCCTGCCCTGGTGGCCTCTCCTCTCGGCACTCCTGTGAGGGACCTCGACACGTGGCTTTGGGGCTGCCGCATGGCCTCCCTCGGCCCCATGGACCTGGGCAACTCCAACCTCACAGCCTGAGGGCCCCGTCCCCAGCCTACCCGGCACCCCACACTTGATCACACGCAAGCTCAAGTCTCGCATGGGGCACGCTGTCATCATGCCTCCCTCAACGTGAGTGTGAGCAGCCTTCTGCCCAGCAGTCAGCTCTGGCCTGCTGGAGTTTGACTCAGTCCTTTGAGCCTTGATCTTGCCACGTGGTACTGCCAGTCCTCAGCCAGTCTGTGAGGGGGTGGCCTGCACTTCCGAAACCAAAGGCTCCAGTTCAGAGAGCTGGGGACAGCTCGGCCCGCTGCCCCTGCTGGGCCGTCGGGCTCACTGAAAGTCATGCACGGCCTCTGCCCAGGGCAGGATCCCGTGGCCCTGCCGCCCAGTACAGAGAACATGAGGATGGCAGCCCAGGAGATGCAGTGACCACAGAACACGGCACCCAGCCCTTCCTTACCTTCCCTCTGAGGACCGTAAACATGTTGTAGTGACTATGGCTTTTAAGGAACATAACACACTTGTCTCTCAAACCCACTGTTTCCACACAGGACTGACAATTCTGACTTCTACAAGGAACTGTTGGTGAAAGGTGCCCTCATTTAAGATAAAAGGAACGAGCTGAGTGTCCAAAGTCTGGAACTAGTTTAGATCTGAGGCGTTGGATTTAAGGACTTTTCCAACCGGATTATATCACCAATGACAAGTGACAAAAATGGAAGTGGCGGCGGGCACTGACAGTGTGGACACAGGGCCCCGGCTTGTTTGACCCTTACACCTTCCTATTCCCATTTTACAGATGAAGAAACTGAGGCCTGGAGAGGCAGGGAGGTCACCCCCTGGGTGGGGTGCCTTGGAGGATCCACACCGAGATCTCACTTTCCCAGAGACCCTGAGGTGTCTGAAGTACGTGGTCCACCAGCGTCAGTGCTGAGAAGGAACAGGGTTAAGAGCGGGGAGGATGCCCGGGGCACCTGTCATTATCTGCCGACCACAGAGAAGCTGCCTTGAGATCCCGTGCTCCACCTGGGAAATGTTTCTCAAAACCAATCTTGCGCCTTCTTTAGAACCAGCTCAGGAATAAGAGAAACTCTGAAAAGTGAGTAGTCTCAGGTCTTGGGGGGGTGTGTGTGTGACTTTTCTGCAGAGAGAAACAGGACGCAGGCTCCCCATCCCCAGCAGCACCTGGTGGAGCCGCAGGATGTTCCAGAATGCGAGAAAGAAGCGGTGGTCTAGGAATGTCACGTTCTACTGGGACTAATGAGCTCTAATGGATTCCCTGAAGCCACATCTTAAAGACTAACGGGGCTGTCATCTGTCATTTCTCGTAGCATGATGTCATAATCAGGGGCTGTGCTTCTGACCCCAGATTTCATATCCAATGAATAACAGATGCGGCCATTAGCACGTATTCATTAATTCATTGAGCAAACACTTGCTGAGCACGTCCTGAGGGCCAGCGACAGGTCCCAGCTCCTTCCAGGTGATGGAGACCCAGAGAAGGGAGCCCCAGGGCTGTGGGAACAACGGCCAGGCAGGGGGCTTCCCCCAGGGCTGAGGGGAGATGGTCTGGCCACCAGCAGGTGGGACCCAGCAGGCCAGTGGTTGGGTATGGAGCTTGGGTTCAAGAGATAGTGGGCAAGCATGGAGTGGCGTCAGGTAAAAGGGGCAGGAAGCAGTCAGAATCCTGGAATGGGTATCCAAGCGGAGGCCAGGGCTTGCCCCCCTGAGCCTGGCTGAGTCACCTGGGGTGAGAGCTGGGGTGGCTCTTGCACCCAGCCCAGCTGCTCTTGGGCAGGCTGTGGAGTCCGGGAAGCAAAGGGGCAGGAGGGCCTCCTTAACACGCTGAGAGGGCGCACATGTGCAGCCCAGTGGTCATGCCGAGGGCACTGCTGGTTGGTTGGTCTTCTGGAGGGCGTGTGTGTGAGGGAAGAGCTCAGCTGCTGAATCCTGAGGGGAGCAGGCGCCACGTGGCAGTGGAGGGGTCAACAGGCCATGCAGCACCCCCACCCGCACCACTGTCTTGGCCCTCTTCCTACTCAGCACACGCCCCCACTCCTGACTTCAGCCCCACTGACCAGCCCCTTCCACCCCATGTGAACCTCGGCCCCATGAACACCTCTCAGACCTTTTGGAGTCTGGACATCTTTCTGAGCCTCATGGTCCTTACTTGGAAATCCCAGCAACTCAGGTGATTGCCTCAAGAAGCGGCCTAGAGAGCAGCCACCCCCTTGGGGGTCCCTCACACTCACACACAGGATCGCGATTGCTATGCAGTGTCGTCAGGACCGCAGACCAGGTGTCTCCCTCATCCTGGGCCCTCGCCTGCTCCTGGGGCTCCTCTTGCTTTGCTGGCATTTGGGGGCTCAGGTTTCCCAGTTCCCTCTCTTCCTTGGGACAAACCATGGGGAACCCAACTGGCCATCATTTAGGCACCTGGGAGACGATGGGCATCAAAGGAAAACCAGGAAACCTCTATAGTGTGGATGCCCGGCCCCATGGCCCCTGCCAGACAGGATGCAGGAGAGCCTGCAGGAGGCCAGGGCCTGGTGCCATGCTTGCAGATCCACAGGAGCTTCAGGGCACGTGAAGCACCAGGCTAGACGCCTCCCTCCGCCTGCCATCCCCTAACACCTGCTGGGTATTCACAGCCCACAGGGGGCGCTGCGCCCCAGGCGCCTTGGCTGAGGAGAGGAGCAGAGCCCAGGAGGTGGTGGGTGGGTGGGGTGGGGCCCCCAGTCGTTTGACTGGGTGCCTGTGGTGCTGCTGTCACTGTGGTGCTTGCGTGCGCTCCTGCAACCCGAGTGCTGCCAGGGGGGCAGAGCAGCATCCTGACACTGCAAATCACAAACCACTGTAAAAGGAGCGTGCTATTTTGGGCTGTAACGCTGAAAACCATGTGAAGTGTGCACCAGTGTGAGTATGGGAAGGAGCGCCCTGGGCACACCTCCCGCCCAGCCTCCCGGGCCCCCTGCAGGCAGCAGGAGCACAGGCCTCCCTTCTCCGCCCATCTCCCCACCTGGCCTCACTCAAGGTCCCTTCTTCCTGGAAGCTCGCCTGACTTCTCTGCTCCGAACCCCTGATCATCTTCCTGTGGCACATGTCTGGCTGTGCCCCCTGCACCAGGACAAAGTCCCAGCCCCTCAGTCTGGCCTCTGGGGCCTGCCCTGGCACCCCCCAGCCCTTGGTGGGTGTGCACGGCCTGGGTGCCAGCTGTGGCTCCCTTCTTCTCCTCCTCAACCCCTCCCTGGGGTCCCAGCCTGCTACCAGTTCTCCTGTGACTCTGCCCACTTGGTGTCATGGGTCTGCTGCTGCTGAGGGCCCGGAGGTGGTGAGACAGGGTTGGGCACCACCCTTGCGTGGGCCGACTGGGCCGCTGGGGCGAATGAAGCCAGGGCAGCTTTGGCGTCACTGGACTCTGCCCACATCACCCCTTGTCCTGCCACGACTTCCATCAGCCTGATGCAAACATCCTCTCCTTAGACTCGGGATCAGAGGAGCTGCCTCTGCAACCATGGCTGCATTGCAATGGGCGGGCTACCCATGTCACACATGGGGAGACGGAGGCCTGGACAGGCCAACTCCCAGGGCTCAGGTGAGAGCCCTGTGTTTCCACCAAGCACACATTCTCTTCCAGCGAGAAGCCCTCCTGGCTCTTACCTCTCCAGGGGCCATGGAGCAGCAGTCGGGGATGCTTCTCCCAGGAAGAAACGCACCCGCTAGAGTTGCCTGCAATGCCAGCCCAGGGCTCTGATGCTCACCCAGCTCTCTCCAGGGCCTGCTCACCAGAGAGACAGCACCTTCTAGGAGTCGGGGGTTTGTCTGCACATTCATTCAGATAAGTAATACAAAGCAGACGAGTCCTGTCAGAGGCCCGTGCAATGGCAGGAATCTCACTGCTCGGCGGTAAGAAACCAGTGATTCGTAACAAAGCACGCCAGACATGGAGAGGCAGTGGGGCGGCTGGATGCAGTCCCCAGGGTGGTGCAGAAATCATTTCTTGGCCATTTACAAAAAGAAAGCCCCTACTCAGATAGGTCCAAATCTACTCAACACCACTGAATGGACTTTCCCCCAGGGTGGCACGTGGGTGTCGCCTGCTTAGGCTGAGGCTGGACCTGCTGATCGGTCTCAAAGGGTTTTCCAGCTTGCTGGCCAGTGAGTCTGGAGTCTTTGCTAAGTGCCGACTCGGAGCAGAGGCCTTCACCCTGAGCGTGGCTGCCATGTGACAGCACCTGTGGTGGCCTGGACCAGACCGGTTCCTGGAACGGCCTTCTGAGGAGGCCGGGGACCAGGGTGGGCTGAGGCACAAAGGGAAGCCTCTGCCTGGTTAGTGAGGGGCCTCGGCCCCCAGGCCTGATTCTCCACGAAGGCTCTCCTGGTGTCATGGAAGGGCAGATAGCCCTGGTTATGAGCCTGGGGTTTCAGGCCAGAGGCTTGGGGTTCACTGTCACCACCAGTGCTTCCCATGCACTACAGAAGCCATTTCTCCTCTCTGGGCCTCCGTTTCCTCATCTGTAAAATGGGATGGTCATGGCACTCAACGCCAGGACTGTTGTGAGAAGAATCCGCATCTGCTGGGCCTTGTCCCGTGGCTCTGTGGCCACCCCAGTGGGTGCTCTCCCATGCCACTCACTGCCCTTCGCCTGGGCACTGGGG